GATATCCAGCGAAGCGCGCGCCTGGTGGCACGCACCAATGAAGCGGCCCGCCGGGATGCCGAGAAGGACGCCAGTACACACGGCAAGACGGAGGACGTGCAAGACTTCTTCAACCGTCTCCGCCGTGCATGAGCACGTGTGCATGTGCGCGCGCGTGTGTATGTGTGCATGTATGTGTGTATGTGTGCATGTATGTGTGTTTGCGCGCGTGTATGTGTGTGTGTCTGTGTGTGCGCGTGTGTATGTGTGTGTATCAGCGTGTGTTTGAGTGTGGATGTATTTTTCGGCCTATGGGACACGCGCGACATTCACTTGGGACTCGATGCGGGTAGGCTTGTGCCTTTCAGAACACTGCTCCTTTTTGCGTTCATGTGTGTCGATGGTGTGCACATGTACACCTGCGTGGATGTGTGCATGCCTGTGATGCGCACGCGTGTCGATTCCAGTGTGTCCTATGTATGTGTATTTGTGCGTGTATGTGTGTGTGTGTGCTTGTGTGTGTGTGCGTGTGTATGTGTGCTTGTGCGCGCGTGTATCTGTGTGCGCGTGTGCGTGTGTATGTGTGCTTGTGCGCGCGTGTATGTGTGTGTGTGTGTGCGTGTGTATGTGTATGTGTGCGTCTGTGATTGCCCCGAGAACTGCTTGGGCTTTCTGTGTCGTGGGAAGTGCTTGTTGAGGGTGGTTCTTGTGAGGTCGCGCAGTTCACCTTGCTGCCCTGCTCTCAATACACTGCTCTGCTGCACCCGCGCGCGCATGTCATCTCCCCACGCGAACTCGATTCTTCGATTGTCCTGCCAGAGAGCCAGACCGAGACTGGGGATGGGACGGTCGAGCATGTGGTCTGGTGGAGTGCCGGGGTATCTATCTGTTGGACACGTTGAACTGTTGCAAAGGGGTCGCGTCGCGATGACAGACAGGCAGACAGGGTCAACCAGCGAGAACAAGCGCACAGATGTGTAACACAGTACGCAGAGGTGGACACAACGCAGAGATAGACACACACAGACATACACAGACACACACACACACACAGACACAGACACACAGACACACACAGACATACACAGACACACACAGACATACACAGACACACACAGACAAACACACACACACATACGCAGTACACAATTCAAAAATCCAAATTCCTCCGCTATCTACAACAATTTCCATTGGCCGAATGGTTAACGGGAAGGGATACAGACAACCGGAGGCCGTGAGTTCGAATCTCACCGGGCCCTCACCTTTGATTGGGGCTCGTGGCTTAGTTGGTTATAGCGCCGGTCTAGTATCGCATTCATTTTTTTTCTCCACGCTCTGTGTGTGCTGCTTCGTGTGTGCTCCTCTGCATCACTGTGCCTCCTGCCTGCACGGCAACCCTGTCCCCAGTATCGCATTCATTTTTTTTCCACCCTCTGTGTGCTGCACTCTGCCTACACAGCAACACTGCTCACCCCGCTACCCGCTCGTCAGCACCAGCAAACAACAACAACAACAACAACGCACAAAATGGAATCGCGTGGGGTCATCACGGTGGCTGTCGTCGCATTCCTGCTCGGCACAGGTGCGCAGGCAGAGTGTCTGCTCTTGTGTGCATACACGCTCGCCAGAGTGCGTGCAGTTGCATCCTTCCGACTTGCTTTTGACATAATGTGGTTGTTCTTGGACTTGTCCGTGTCATCGCTTTGCTCTTTCGCGCCCGTCGTTTGTGTTTGACCTTGCGTGCTGCTGTGTCCACACACACACACACACACATGATCATGTGCGCGCTCGCTCTTTCTGTCACGCTCATTCACTCTCAAATACATGGGGTCTCTCTTTCACACACACACACACACACACACACACACACACACACACACACACACACACACACGTGTGTTGGCGCGCATTGTCGCTGTTTATTGTGCAGTGGCCGGCTTTGAGCTGCGCGAAGCCGTCGGCAGCTTCCGAAGATGGCGTTACGAGCGGCTCAAGCGCAAATGCCAGGACCTCAAGAAGAGGCTGTAGCCCAGATTGTATGTGTGTGTATGTGTGTATGTGTGTGTATGTGTGTGCATGTGTGCATGTGTGTGTGTGTGTGTGTGTGTGTGCCGGGTGTACGGAGACGTTTGCCTTCCGCACGTCCTTTCTCTTTGCCGGTCGACTCAGCCTTGTTGCGCAGTGCACATGTCCACTGTTGCCGTCGTTCACTGTAACCAACTCTGCTTTCTTCATCTTCCTTTTGCTTGCCACACCTGCGTCTGCGCTTGCCAAGTGGACAGACCTCGATGCCCACACCCTCCTCGTTGTCCACGCTCTCGCCTTTCAACGCCTGTTACCTTGCTCTGCAACCTGGTGCATGCATACTGTGCGCCCTTGCCCAATACAGCGAAGCAGACGCACAGCACACACACCATCTGCTCCAGCGAGTGGAGCACGTACCCACGCGCACTGACTTCTTGATGTGTGACAACACACAAACAAACAACAAACACGCAAGGCTGGTGGGTGGTGCATTTCATGCACTTGACAAGCACACTGCAACACACAGAAACCCACAGACACACAAAGCAAACAACACTGCTGAGTTGAGTTGAGTTGAGTTGAGGGTGGTGGTGCATTTAACATTCCATTGCACACACAGACCTCGACCGCGCCCACACCCACGGACGCTCGAGTCCCAGCAGCAGCAGCAGCAGCAGCAGTAGCAGCAGCAGCAGCAGTAGCAGCTTCACAACTCCATATCCCCCACCCCCTGCACACACACACACACACACACACACACACACACACACACACACACACACACACACACACACACACACACACACACACACACACACACACACACACACACACACACACACACAGAACTGACATCAGCAATGGCTGGATGTGGTTGCGGGCATAGCGACCCCTTTGGATCGTCACCGCTGTACAGCGAGTGGTGCACGCAGCCAGACCCGTTCCAGCTTCCCCGCTTCGTGGATGGCAGGCTGGCCGACTTTGGACGCTCCACCCACTGGCTCATGCAGGCGATATGGGCTGGCACGCACCTCATGCATGGCACAAGCGCAGCCACTGCCACTCATCAACGGCACCCACAGCCCCACCACGAGACCCACAGGCGCCACCACCATCACCTTCGCCACCACCGACGCCACCATCACAACCGGCACCACCACAACCAACACACGCGCAGACGAGGCGAGCAGGGGTTGGCAGCCGCCGATGCTGGCGACAGCGATGGCCACGCGCCATCAAAGGCACTGGTGCGAGCTTTCCTGCAGTCACCAACCTGGGGCAGTTTGGCTATTGCAGGCTCGCTCCCCGATGCAGCAGTGCCCGCATCGCCAGCGCAAGCCTTCCACACCGCAGCCCACGCACATCTCTGGTCAGGATGGATCCTTATGTGCGTGTGAGTGAGTGAGCGTATGCGTGTGTATGTGTGCGTGCGTATGAGCGACGAAAGACACTCATGTATTGCTGGTGCCGCGTTCTTGTGCGTACATGCTGCCGCTCCACTGCATACAGCACGCCCTTTGGTCAAACAACTCTCCACGTGGACAAAGATCCGCAGGACCTACGCATCTCCCTGGTGCGGCCCGTCTACTCGTCTCGTCAGTGCACGTGGGCCGGCGTCTTGCAAGGTTGCATGGACACGAACAGCATCACATCTCACAGCTCCCAGCCAGCACCAGGTGTGTGTGTGTGTGCATGTGCGTGTGCATGCGCGTGTGCATGCGCGTGTGTGTGCGTGTATGTGTGTGTGTGTGCGTGTGTGTGCTTTTGCTTGCGCCTTGTGGTGGCCAGCGTCACGCCTCTACCCGTCGCGTCTCTTGCCGCCACATCACTATGAACCCATCATGTCTGTCAGAGGTCTCGGCTGCCATCGCTGTCGACTGCAAGCAGCGCGGCCGCGGATTTGTGCATCTCACACGAACCCACGACAACAGAGGTTGGTGGCACGTGTGTGTGTACCTATGTGTATGTGAATGTGTGTGTGTGTGTGGTGCTTCTGTCTCTGTGTGCTCTTGTGTTGAACAGGTCGCCTCAACATATCCAGCAATGCGCCATCACCATGTACATGTTCACACATGTATTGTGCTCACGTGTTCGCGCGTTGATGTGCTCACACGTGTTTGTGTGTGTGTCTGTGTGTGTGTGTGTGTGTGTGTGTGTGTGTCTGTGTGTGTGTGTGTGTGTGTGTCTTTCTCTCCCCTCCCCCCCCCCCTTCGATTTTCTCGTTGCGACAACGGCAGCGACATTGTGGGCACGTGGTATTGTGTATGTTGGAGCGATACAGGCGGGTATGGACGTGCACTGCGATGAACAAGGTTAGCATTCATGTGCACACGTTGATATCGCGATGAGTCGTGTGTGTGTGTGTGTGAGTGTGCGTGTTTTGTGTGAGTGTGCGTGTGTGTGTGAGAGAGTGTGTGAGTGTGTGTGTGAGAGAGTGTGTGAGTGTGAGTGTGAGTGAGTGAGTGTGTGTGTGTGTGTGTGTGTATGTGTGTGTGTGTGTGTGTGTGTCTCACCTTCTCCCCCCCCCCACACACCTGAAACATGCGCGTGCACAGCGGAGGTGTGCGACATGAATGCCCGCGTCGTGTATTCAGGTGCCCGTCGACACGCCATCACCGGGCAGCCGGAGAGCTACCAGGTGCATGTGTACACACAAACACACACATACAACACATACACACACGAATGTGTTCAATGGCTGGTGTACTCTCCTGTGTACATGTTTATGATGCGTGCTGTTGTGTCATTGTGTCCCGACAACCATCACACACGGCAAACCCACTGATACACACACATTCACATATACACACACACACATAATGTAGGTTGCCCTGTCCTCCTATCACTTTGGAACGGTCGTTGAGTTGTCACTGTTCCACCACACGGCGGTGCGTGTCAATGCACTGCCCCTGTGCTATTGGAAGAATACAAGCTATGGTCTTCTTCTCACCTACGACACATCCCTTCTCAGGTGTGTGGAGTGTGTAGTGTGTAGTGTGCGTAGTGTGTAGTGTGTGTGGGTGTGTGTGCACGCGCATGTACATGCGTGTGTGTTGCCCTTGAGATATCTCAGCCTGGTAACATGCCACGCTCACCTCTAAACCGCCATCGGTTGCTGTGTTCAGACCGTTTCAGGTTCAAGTTGCATCTTCGTGGCAGCTCGACAGCACCACGCTTGTGCAGGTAGCGGCAACACATGCAACATGCGACGTAACATGCCATATGCATGCATTTCTTCTTGTATCATGTGATGGCATGTGTCATACCAAGCACCGCAGACTGGCTCATTATCATGCTGCACATCAACATCCTTGACCTTCGGTCTTTCCATGCACACAGGGAGCAGTGTCTGATCGTGGCTGTTTCGATATTTCCATCAAGACTAGGTGCGCGCATGTGTGTGTGCGCGCGCGCGTGTGTGTGTGTGTGTGCGTGCGTGTGTGTGTGTGTGTGCGTGTGTGTGTGTGTGTGTGTGTGTGTGTGTGTGTGAACGAGAGCGTCATACATATTGTTCCGCTGACCAATGTTTTGGTCCTCACTTGACGTTGAACCATTTATTCCCCCCCCCCCCGCCCAACACACACGCATGCATACGCACGACAGGCCGTACCACTTCAACAGCACTGCGCTGAACGTTCTTCCTGAGATGACGGTGGATGTGACGCTGAGCTGTGACGTTGTTGCATCACGCCTTGCCTTCTCTGCTTCCCTCTGCTTTGGGAGCGCGCGGCAGTGGCGGAAGCAGCACAGCCCCCTCCTCGATCTGTAGTCGTGCCAGTAAGAAATGGACCAGCGTGGTCGTGTGTGTATGTGTGTGTGTGTCGTGTGCAAAGGAGGACAAGAGAGAGAGAGTGTGTGTGTGTCACTGTGTGTACATTGTAGTGCAGAGGGAATGTCTGGCTGGGCGTGAGGATGTGTTTGAGTGACAATGCGTGTTGCACCGCTGTTTCGTGTGCGTGTGTTCGTTCCCACTACTGCCGGTATCACCAATCATCGTGCCTCTCGCAATAAATGACAACTGCATGCGTGGTTGAATCCATTCTTATTGGAAGCGAGAGCACAAGCTCGTACAGCAAAAGGTGCACACACATACACACACACACACACACACCCACACCCACCCACACACACACACACACACACACACACCCTTGCTCTCTGCATGACTGCCCATTCACTTGTAAGTGACAATCCAGAGCGGGCAGATGAAGTTAGGGTTGCTGCACACGAAGATATCACCACAGCGGCGAACAACAGGCGTGGGTGCCTGCGAGTCGTCAATGAGGGCGCAGGCAAAGATGGTGTTGCTGCCGCGCGCGTAGAAGCGCGAGACGGTTGCGTTCGCTGCAGAGTAGATGCCATCACCGTGCACCCTGCCATTGGCAACCTTGATCCCCCTCATGCCGGGAACCAGTAGGCCGTGCCTACAGATGGAGTCGTGGTTGTATGTCGGTGTTCCATGGAAGGTCACGCGCAGCTGTGTCCGTGTGTTTGGGATCTGGGTGCAGCCAGCGGTGGCATTTGCACTTGTCTGCGTCACCTGCACAGCGCGTGCACGGCTCCCTCTTGTGCGTCCTCTCTGCTTGATTGGTCGCCGCCCCCTCATCCTCTCTCGCTTCATCACTCGGCTCAGGGTGGACAGGAACGCCCGCAGTACATCGTCGTGCACAGGTGCGCGCTGCACGGGCCAGCGAATGTACGGTGCACCCGCCGCCACCACCTGCTCCTCCAAGTCAAGCAGTGCCTGTCGTGCTGTCTCCAGCACCTTGCCAGTGGGCCATGCTTGGTCATCCTTGCGTTGCTTGCGGTTCTTGCCCTTGTGATCAAAGTCGTTGCTACTGTCGGTGTAACCGTCTTCCGCCCCAAGTGCCTGCAGGCGAAGGCGCCTGTTCTCCGCCCGCGTTTCCACGCGCACGTGTGCACTGCACGCGGGACACATGCCACGCGTCTTGGGCGTTGGAATGCGGCGCACACGGGCTCGGGCACGTTGCTGCTGCTGCTGCTGCTGCTGCTGCTGCTGCTGCTGCTGCTGCTGCTGCTGCTGTTGTTGTTGTTGTTGTTGTTGTTGCTGTTGTTGTTGTTGTTGTTGGGAAGCAGCACTTGCAGGGTTGTTGTCACCACTGCCATGACGACTAGTGTTGTCGCTCTTGGTGGTCTTGCCACCACCATCAACGCCGCCGGCCTGACGATGGCATTCTCGACGGAGAGCTGTGGATGCAACGAAGCGAGCACCACATGCCGTGCACGGGTGGGTGATCAGCTTGTACGCATCAACACCATCCGTGTCGCCAGCGTACACGCGGTCGTAGTCCGCAGCGTGCATGTGCGTGCGGAGGTCTTGGTGCTCGTCCCGGCTGTCATGCTCCTCTGCGAGCCACTTCTTGACCTGTCTGCGCTTGGTGCCGCTCTCACGCCACTGCTCCTTGTTCTTGTACCGGTATGGCTTATTGCGGCCCCGTTGCTTGTTCTTGTAGTTGCGGGCACCACGCGACTTGG